TGTCCCAAAAAAAAAAAAAAAAAAAAAGATAAAAACCCAACGATGATGATACGAAATGTACAATATTGAGTTCAAGAAAAAATTTCAATATTAGATCAAACCATTTAATAGAGGGTATCGCAAAAAGAAATTCCATTTGATAACAATGAAACATACCATGATTTGAGACTTTAGATCATTATCCTTTGTGGCAGACGGTGGCGTCGCAGTTGAACCTTACAACAAAGGGAACTGATCAATACAATGATTTGAAATATTTTTTGGCTATAAGTTTGTCATAGCATCTACCTTGTTTGACATCTGAACAGTTCGATACCATAGACGTGAAACTGGGTGGCAACGCTGCAAATATGCTTTCTAAGTGGTCAACATGTACATTTTCCTGAGAAGATGAGTATTTCTCTGCTGTATCTTTTAAGCTCAAAGGCATTTCAGGGGTGTAAGGCTGGAGCACGGTAGAATTGCTCAATTCTTCAGAGAGGCTGGAAACATAAGATACATCAAATCTCTCTCTCTCTCTCTCTCTCTCTGAGTCTGTGGCTGTAAAAAGAAAATGATGCATTTGATTATTAGATAATTTCCATTTACCTGTCAGACGGCCTATTTGTATTTGAACATAATAACTCAGACGAAATCTGAGATCCAAAGTCGCAACTTATTGGTTGTATATCTCTTGCATCCTTCGACATCTCCTGAAACAGGAGAAAAGAACAATAGCAGCAGCTAGCTTTTAGTATACAAATATCTTCCATTAAACCGTGCCATCAAAGGAATCCATGATAAATACCTTGAGAATGCTCACAAATGAATCAATTTCGCAAGATGTTGAAAATCTTAGGGCAAATTTTTGGATCTGCCAAGAAAAACAGTGCCCTTGTGAGTTGTGGGGTTTGACGACTAAAACGCATCCTCAGAAAACTACTTTATTTGAAATTCCGTGGCACCACAGACGAACAAAATCTGATGAACATATCATGACTTGCCTCGTCAGCTGAATCTCTATAACTTCCGAACATAGTTCTGGTGCCTCTGGCTGGAAAACCAGAGATACAGCACATCTGAGGCCAAGAGAAATGCAGCTTCGAGAGGTAGTGCTCTTCCTACATCAGTATGCAAATAATACATGATTCATCCATTGCGATAAACGCATCCAAATAATAGAAATCGTGTCTTAGGTTGATACTTTGGATTGTGCTAAACGACTGAACTCAGTATAAGGTGCTGCATTTGATTTGCCAGAGGAAGCATAATACACAACGTAGGATTTCTCACCTTCCATAGTATTTGGTGTTGTATAATAAATGAACTACAGGATAAAGCGTATATAATGAGGTCAAGATGCAGCCTCGAAGGTAATCATCCATGCAGGGAGGTTAAGGGGGGGAAACGGAAGAAATCAAACAAGAGACCAACTCCTTAAGCGGAAATTAGCACATGATCAGGTTGATTTCAGGAACATTAATAAGAAACTGCATGAATTTAAGCAATGGCTAAAGAAATGTAATAGGAAATTCTTAAATGCGGTAAGGACACAATTGGAGGAATCTGAAGAAGCGAGTGTATAATATTCAGCGAAGCAAGCATTTAGTCTCCGACAAATTTACCGGCACATACAGATTACGAGTTGAACTTGGGGAGAAGAGTGAAAAAAGAACTCACGAGGATTTTATCTCGAAAGCGTACGGCAAGAATAAAATCAGATGCGGAGCAATGGTGAAGGAGCTGCAGGACAGCCGTGGAAGAGGAAGAGATCCATGTGCCTCGAGGAGGGCGGCGGCTTCGGGCATTAAGAAGGAGAGGACGGAGGTTGGTGTCGGTGTCGGTGTCGTTGGATGTAGATGTGGTGGTTGGATAGCAAACGAAGCGAGAAAATTGAACTTCCCATTGGTCTCTAATGGCAGCAAATGGCATCTCCGCTTCCTCTTTGCTCTGTTCCCCGCCTTCAAATCCCGCCATTCTTTTCCCTCCCAACAATCCCTCTCCTGCTTTAGAAAATCGCCAATCATATTTATAGTCGCGCTAAATTACAAATTTATTCTTTTAATTTTTGAAATTAGAGACTTCCAAACATTTTAAAATTCATTCAAATTTAGAGTATGATTAAACCTAAAAAAAAGCATTAATTTTATTATTATTAATTATGACACATTTCAGAACTAAATATTTATGAATTATCTCTTCCCTTCCCTTGGATTGTTATTGATGACTATGACGCAAATAACTTGGCCGGATCGCTCCCCTGCCTCTTCATTTTCTCCCTCCTATATGAAGCCCAAAGCTGGCATTCAGGTGGAGGATCCTGTGGTTCATGAGAGAAACGGGTTCAAGCATGGTCGAGATGGGGTTCGACCCACTTCAGAAAAGGCTCTGCTCAATTCTTTTATCAACCACATCACGTAGCATCTGATAAGATATATCAAATCAAGTTGGGACCCATATTGTGCGGCAGACAAACAAAGCAACCAAACCAATCAAAAGTTGAATTGTTACACAGCTCATACATACAGATTATGAGTAAGCAGCTGACTGGCATGCTTCATCATTATCCAATGAAAAACATATGGAAAAACACTTCGTAATCTACGTTATTATATAGTTTTAAAATCATTGATGAGCCTCGATTTCATCCCCCACACCCTTGTGCCTAGGTGGCCGCCCATTATAAAAAAAAAGAAAAAAAAGATCAAATTGAAGCAGAACGCCAATACGACTTTCTTTACAACCATGCTCAATTTGGGGCATCAGTATTGTTCATGAGTAGTAGTCTCACACCAACAATGCTCAAGAGTTGTCTTCCATACTTGGGGTCACCCGATTGTCTGGACAATAATGACACAAAAAGCAAAGAATTGGAAGGGCAAGACAAGATGAATAGCCCTTCACTGGAGTGCGCGTTAGAATTGAAACAGATTTTGGTGAGAGTGGTCCATGCGGGAGGCAAAGTGGAGCATTATCCCAATGCAGTTATCGCCGCTAGGGTGCTGGAAAAGCTGCCGGCGGGGAAGTGGCTGGCACGGCCTGAAGTTTTCAGGCAGCCACACGAGTCAATCATAAGGGCGGAAGAATATCTAGTGCCAGGCAACAAATACTATGTAGTTCCTTTGTCGACCATAAAAAAACTGAAGAGAAAGCACAACAAGATGAGCGGGGGGACGCAAGAAGAGATGAGTTCCGATGTGTCGGCGGTGGTGGAAGCTAGAGATTACGAGAGTAGAGAATCAGAATGCATGGATGACTCGTTTTCTTCTGCAAGAGATTTGTACGTAAGGAAGGTGAAGAAGTGGACATCCACGTCAAATGGGCAGGCACGTGGATCAAGCAGAAGGGGTGGGCGGATGTTGGTACCACACGCCAAGCCAAAACCCTGCTCTGGATACACATGGGAGCCTGGCCTTACTTCCATACAAGAGCTCTCTCCCTGACACCTCTTCCCCTTCCCCTTCCCCTTCCAGCAAATCTCGCGCAATAATGAATAAGCTTTTAAACCAATTTTCTTTCCCTTTAATCTCTTCTTAACAATCTCTCCCTCTTGATCTAATCTATTTTAGACCTCCAAAATGATATCACATAACATTGCTTCCTCTACGTGATCTTGCATGCATTAAAAATTAGCCTCATTATTTTCAAAAATCTAATTTGCGGGAAAGTCATATTAATTGCTTATTTATAAAATGGCCCAGTTATATGCATACACGATGGAACGTAAAGTCATTTAATTCATAGTTACACCTTATGCATAAAATATATACAGTATTAATATTGTGATAAAAGAAAACGTAGGAAAATACTTTAATTCCCATTTATGTGTGATGGGGTATTAATATCGCCAACCTCTATAATTCAAATAATTGTTTGCTTTGTGAGGATGAAAAAGAAAAAAGGAGTGCATTATTGAGTTAAAGGGACAATACTTTGCAACTGTGAGGAAGTTGACAACTTTAATTGTATTTATAATGTATTGGGACCAACTATGGATATTATTCTACTAAAACTATATACCCAATATTGTAGTATTCAATTTTCACACCAATTTCTAATACAAAATTCAACCTTAAAATCTGTTACTGCACTTAACCTATAATAGAGAGAAGTATGAGTGTAATAAATTAAGACTTAGAAGGGTCATCCAAAAAGGGTTTGAAAAACCTAATTTGAAATAATTAGCAGGATCAACTAAATTTTGTATTTCTTAATTTGTTGTTTTTAGATTGGGAAGAGGGCATTAGCAAAAGTAAGCCGTAGAAGTTGAATACACAAATATTAATTTAATTTAATACGCACACTTTCCTGGAAACTACAAGGGAGGCAAAAGGGAGTGAGAAATGAATGGAGGCAGATAGGAGAATGGGAGTTACAAAGTAAGAAAAAGGAAAAAATGAGGTGGTGCAGAGTAACATAAATTGGAGCTTACTAACCTTTAATGTCCATTCAATATACTAAAATGGAGGAGAGAGAAGAATTTAATAGCGAATACATGCATGGGGGTTCAAACAATGGGACACTGCCACGTGTAACCCCATTTACATTTCCCTACATGTAATTTGTATTCAAGTACCCACCTGTCGCACAAATACACAAGTGAGTAAATAATAATATTTTTAAAAAGCATTCATGCACGGATTGCATAATTTTTACGGTGGATGCGCAAAGGCATTATAGTGTACTTTATTTGGTTACAGTGCAGCAGAAACCTAATTTTCCTTTACATTGGGCCGACCGACCCCTCTCGGGAGACAACCCTTAAACGCCCACTTTCTCCATTACCCTTTTTCTTGGATTATAATGAATACTATAATACATTATAAAAACGTCAAAAGGCTACACGCCCACAAAACTATATTGTAATTATAATACATCAATTGCATTATGGTGTCTAGGAATAATTATTGTTTTTTCTTTCTTCCTGTTAATTCTTTTTATTAACTGTCATTTATGAGGTTTGAAAAATGGTAAATGTTGGCTTATTATTTCAAATTAGCTCAAAACAGAAGAAAAATATTAAAATATATATTTGTAGTGTATAATACTGGGTTTTTAAAGAGCGTAGGAAAATACTTTATTGCCCATTTATGCGCAATGGGGCATGGATATTGCGAAGCTCTATAATTCCAATAATTGTTTGCTTTGTTCGGGTGAAGAAAGGAGTGCATTATTGAATTGAAAACGAAATAATTTGCAAGTGTGAGGAAGTTGATAGTTTGAATTGTATTTATAATGTATTGGCTGTGTTTATAGTATTATGTTATTCGATTCACGCCTTAAAATTTAAAAAACAATAAATGTTTTGTTGCAATTTAACGTATAATTGAGTGCAATAAATTATGAATTACATGGAAAATGAAAACTAATAATAATAATAATAAAAGCATTAAATGGAATGAAAGAGATGAATTGATGAGAAGGAAGAAGGGTTCATAAATATAATAAATATTCATTTATTGATTTATTTATTCCCTCTGTTGTAATTTGTCCCCCTTAAGACTCTTTTAATTTGCCGTCTCCTTCCTTCTCTGCCCTTCAATTCTCCCATCTCTTTTCTTTCTCGCTATTATATGTCTATACAATACCATTTTTAAATGAATTAAAAATCTTTTTAATGCACGTTAAAATAACAAATTTGTTTAGTTGCCTCAAATTTCTAATTTTGGTTGTACGCCATGCATGAATTTTAAAATCAACAAATTCCCTTCCCGGACCCACACGTCTCTCCCCCGCTCCTACTATAAATAAACCCCCAACACGCCCACACCAAACACGACATACCATCTGGAACACTTGTTCAGGCGCATAAACGGGTTGGCCATGTCCCTCCACTCTCAACCCATATAACAATCTCTTCCACCACTACCAAATGAAGTGCAACGCCACCGCTACTACCGCCGCCACTACCGCCACCACCACCGCCGCCGCCAACATTCTCAAGCGAACTCTCCGAGACCACAACTCCACTGGCACAATGAGATACCGCGGAGTTCGGCGCAGGCCATGGGGCCGTTACGCCGCCGAGATTCGAGACCCTCAGTCCAAAGAAAGAAGATGGCTGGGGACGTTCGACACTGCTGAGGAAGCCGCACGTGCCTACGACTGCGCCGCACGCTCCATGCGTGGCCTGAAGGCTCGCACCAATTTCGTTTACCCTTCTTCGCCGCCGCCGCCTCACTCCCTCTCCGATTATCCAATCCCTCACTTCAATTTACCTAAACAATCCCACCCCTCTCTGTCCCGTCACCTGGGTGTGAACTCCTCCAATTGGCCCATTTTTTGCACTCCCAATCGTGGCTCCGACTTTGTGTGGTCCGGTTCACACAAGATTAACACCGCTTCTCCCACTCTGGACATGCTTCTCCTTGGCGATTTCCTCAACTTCCCTTCTTCCAATTCTAGCCCCAACCCAGCTTCCATCAATAATACCGCTCCAGTAATTTCCAAGTCCTTGGGTGACCCCCTTCACCTAAACTACTCCAGCTCCGAGTTTCTGCCCAAGGAGGACTCCCCGGATTCGGGGTTGTTAGAGGAGATAATTCACGGCTTCTTCCCCAAATCCCATTCCAATTCTTCCACTCCCAGCGCTAATTTCAACTCCGACTTGCCCTTCGATGCCTTCAAAAATGACAATAACTCCGCTAACAATCTGGATCATTTGGATAACTTGGATTACCCGGATTCTATTCACCACATCCTGGACAACTTCAACGCCGCCTTTAATCCACCACCTCAGCTTGGGCTGCCTCATGGGCATCCTCAGAATTTGATTCTGGACGATATTTTCCAGTGCCCGGAACTCTTAAATCTATCTGCCCCAGAACTCGAAAACGCTTGACCTCATCACAACATGAAACCTTAACGTCGTTGGCAGCTTTTCCACATTAATATTAATATTATTATTATTTTTTCTTTCTTACCTAGCTTCGTCTCATTCCTGTAATGCTGCCTATAATTTGTTTTCATCGGTAGAAAA